ACTACATGTGGCGACGGTGGCGGCGGCGACGGCCGCGGCAGGCAGGCCGCCCCCGGCCGCATACCACACTGCAACTCGCGCCTACGATCACTCGGTGCCAGGCACTACGTTACAGCGACCTCGTTCGAACATAACAGGCCTACGCATTGCAGCTCATAATAGGTACGCCGTTCATTGCGGAATCTTTCTAGTACCTACAAATATATTTCTTTCGTATTGTTTTATCTCCGATAAAACGCGTCTGCGTCGTGTTGGCTGTAACTACCAACTACGCGCTGTATCTCTCCCGAGGTTGCGTAAATGGACGTATGGAGATGAATGAATCGCCAGATCTTCGGTGGCCACTGGAGAAGGGCGGAGACAGGTCAAAGGAGGACGGGGATGGAAGAAAGGAGAAGAAGTAGCTCTACGAGTGTGAAAGTGGACTGTACCGAGGCCATGGATTGCGAGGAGTATACGTGCGAAAGATATAGCTTTCCTTTGGGTTTCTTATTTGGAGTTTTATAAATGTGCAGAAAGATGCATTGAAAACAGGTCACATTTCCGCGTCCTCCTATTCTTTCTTTCCACCATTCCCATACGCCTTAAATGTTTTGATAATTGTAATGTAACTAGTCACATTTTTCAGTACGAAAATGTTTTTCAAATGTCAAACATTAAACCGAGCGCGGCACATGCTTTGTGGAATAGTGTTCAAGAAATATTAGCCATATAATTCGATATTTTACTTTCTCGCCCACCACTTGCGCGTGGTAATGTGAATGGAAGTGCTGCAGCGGAAAATGGCGATTTTTTCACAAAAACTCGCATTTTGAAGTTCTGGTAACGAAAAAGTGGATAAATCTTGTTCCTGTATGTAGTAAATTAATTCCTCTCTAACTTTAGTCAAAATGCACGTTTTGTGGGTTTTTGATGCCGACAAATTGGTACACCACAAAACGACTGTCTCTCCGAGTGGCCACCGCGCCTAAACCGTTCGGTTGATTTTCTCCAAAATTGATATTCCCCATCGATGTGGACGAACTCGAAGCTTCGAGAGTTTGAAACGGGTATTTTGGTTTTTGGGGACTACATGAAACTAAATTTTCAAAATTTTCTAAATGTCAAAATTTACTCCAATTTTTTTTCACATAATTATTTCACCGGATAGTGCAAATATTCGCTGGTCTAATTTTCATTGAAACATTTGAATTTTAGAGATTCGCAAAAGTTTAAATATTATATTCATATATTATTTTCATATTATATTCATATACTCAATATAAGGATTCGTTGTCTCCATAGCTTAGAGAAGCTGGGCGTAAACAAGAAGGCGTGAGTTCAAGTCCCGGTTAGGGCAATTCTTAGGACAAGTTGAAATATAGACATTTTTTTAAACATTATTTTCTCAAAAACTGCTGTGATATCTTTTGCTTTAAAATTTTTATCGAATAGAACAAAGTACTCTAAAAATTGCGCAGGTCTTTTTTTCGGTGAACTCTGTATTTACGAAATATTGCATAAAAAAACCTTTCAAAAGTACAATATTGATGATAGATATTTTGTTCTTAATGCAATATGTTCCGCCCCTTGGTTGGCTCGAGGACAGCGCGCTAGCTCTCCGCGAGGCGATTTCCTGTTCGATTCCGACGAAAGCAACGCCCGGACAGTGCAAGTATGCTAGATACGGCGACGGAAATACGCCAATTCGCCACATGTCTCCTCCAGCCCAGGCGTGCATGATAAAACGGGCCCAGGCCTGGGACACCCTTATCTGGCAAAAGTTGGAATTATTCGCCCCTAAAATGCCAAATACATGCATACAAATGTGTTGTAAAAAGTAGATGTGAAAATAAGGACATGTACGATTTAACAACCCATCCTGTCCCTTCTCGATTACGACGAACAGCTTGTATTTCGCCATTGTTTGCTCCTACCACTTCAAATGTCGACTTACTATGTTCAATATGTGCAACATCTGCAGTTCCGACTAGAAAGATCATACTTCAACGTGTTATGTAATTTGAACTTGGTACTGTAATCGGAAAAAAGAAATGGGGCATTGAGAGCATAATTGGCCTGAGACCGACCGCGAGAGCAAGAGTGATCTAACTGCCATCTACCATTGCATTTAGGTCTCTCTAGCTCTCACAGCTTGTAGTGGTTCAGCCACTTGCGCTCCCAAACGAAGACACTCAATGCTGGTTGAAATAGTGAATGATGGATGAATTTGGAGCGGTTTAGGTAACGGAAAGAAAGACGGAAAACAGAGTACCTCATGGAAATTTACAGAAAGTCGTTTGTTTATCGCAAATGGCGTAAGAATCGGAGAAGCATAATCACAGAACCGAGATGTGAAAGGGTAATCCAATCACACAAATAGTTTCATTGGACTGAATGTACATCCATGTGAGCTGTGCATTGGTAGACACTCAGGAATTAAACGAGAGTGTTTTAGAAACCACGTCTACACTCGCAGAGCCAGATCGAACACACACACGCCCTTGCTTGTGACACACCGACCGCCCACTACCACAGACGGCGGCCACAAATACTTCGAAACAGAAACGAAACCCCGAAGAGATGCCGAGAGGGGGTAGGTAGGGTCCTGCCGGTCGGAGGGTTTGGGGCCCGGAGAGGTCGTGGAACCAGGGGGGGGGCGAAGGGCGCGCGAGGGGGGGTCGTCGCTGCAGGGTGCCTTCGCCGCGGCCTCCGCCGCCACCGGAGATAATCAATCAATTATGGCTGGAATTTCTGGAAAGCGGAGACGCTCCTTCTCCGCACCGTTCCGCTCCGCTCCACTCCGCTCCGCAGGGCGGCAAGCGCCCCTTCTCTCCGCTCCCCCCGTCCGCCCGTCGCCCCTTTTCCTCTCTCGCCGCACGTTCGCTGGTCGCCCGTTCGCCCGCCCGGGCGCCGCTCCTAAATCTGCAGTTTACGACTCGCTGTCCGGAGATAGCGCACGGGGCGGCCGCCGACGCCCTAATGGAGATTTCGTCTCGAGGCGGCGCGGAGGTGCTCGCTCCGGAGCTGGCACGCTGGCAGGCCGGCTGGCTGGCTGGCTGGCTGGTTAGTTGGTTAGATGGTTGTTTAGTGGGTTGGTTGGTTGGTGGCAGGCTGGATGGCTGGCTGGGTCGCGCGAGGCGCAGCGGGCACTAACGAGCGCCCAGACCCGCTAGCCGCCAACCCTAGCCGCCCCCG